ACATGATCTGTTGTATACGACCGTACCTCTCTATCCAGCAGCGATTGTTTGCCGCGATTGACCAAGCTTTGTTTTGAACATTTGGAACTTCCATAAAATACTGTAACAGATGCATCTTTGAACATATTGTACTAAATTGTGTACCATTATTATCAAGATACTCTTATATAGCTTGCCTGGACAAATGAACAGGTTCCCTAGTTAGCATGACTATGAAATGTATCACTTTTTAATGAAAAAAACTAGCTTTAATTAAGATGAAATTATTGCTTGGGGACGGATTTTTCTTTTTTTTTCTTAAAAAAAAAAAGATTATTCAAGTCAAATGAACACAAGAGATCTCAGTCAAAATTAGAGTATTAGACACATTATAGATTAAACATCATCATCATTTTTATTATTAACAATTACTATAGAAAACTCAAGTTTCAAAACAGCACAAGTGCACACCAATTTAATTTTAGGAAAGTATTAACTATTAAAACTATGGAATGCAAACTATATATTTTAAATTTATTTCTTCGCTGGAAAAAAATGAATATACTCGTATAAGTGTACTCAACTTGTTTGATAGGGAGTACATTTTTTTTATAAATAGTCCCTTCATCCCATGCCAAAAGCCACGAGGATTTTTGTAGAAATTACAAAAAACTTAAAGTAATTGAAAAAATAGAAAGAGAGCATAAAATTAATTTAAAAAGTAAGAGATTATGTGTAAAAATAATGGAAAAAAGAAAGAGTGTATGGAAATGATTGAAAAGATGAAAAAAATGATTGAAAAAACATGCAATCGTAGTAAGGTTTGCTCTTTTTTGTGAAGAATTTTTTTTCTTGGGTGTTTATTTCTCGTGTTATACCCGTAATAATGAAATATTCTATCCCTTGTAAAAAGATTAGTACAATCACTCTAGAGGTGAAATTATTGGTTCAGATTTAAAAAAATTAAATAGATTTTGATCATCAATTAAATAATATATTTAATATTAGTCTAGTTTGAATTTATTAGGTCAAACTGGATAAACTTTGATCAACTAAATAGAATGTATTCAAGATTTTCTTTTGGTCTGCGTGGTAGAAAGACCACCCTCAAAATTCATAGAAAAACTCACCCAGATTCAAGTTCCAGCAGAAGTGGAGCAATTGGCTCACAGTGCATCATTAAGTTAAAATATTATAAAGAGATATTACATTATAATCGAGCCAATAACACTAAGAAAAAATAAAGTGTATTCAATATTGTTGCAAAAATGATTTTATTAGATTTATCTGGCAAAAAACTATCCAAGATTTATTTCAGTGTATTAGTATATGATGCAAATTAAATTTAATTAATAATTAAAATTCATCTCGTTGGACTTAAACCATCAAACTAGATAAATACTCTAAGAGAGAGTAATATGCATCTTGAGTTACAAAATGACCTCAAACTAGAAAAGAAAATGTGGAATACATAAAGCATTCTTTTTCGTCTCAAATTAAACTCATTGTTTACAATTCACAACGTCAAATTTTTCCTTACCTATTTTTGTTATTCATTTGATAAAATAATACATAATCATAACATCTCTTATGTTATTAAACTTTAGATGCAATTTTTAAATATAAATTTTTTTATTTTTTAATTTCACCCCAATTCTCATATAAACTAAACTAAATATAATACTCGTATCAGTCAAACATCGTATACCAAAATAAGCAATTTAAATTAGACGAAAGGTGTACTTTAAAACCTCCCCTCCAATACTCAATATCCCAAATAAGATATTACCTTCACCCCCAAAATTTTTGACAAGTTTTAACTTATTATAGTCAAAATTGATAAAGTTTGACTATTAATTAAATAACACTAATATTAGACATCTATATAAAAATAATTTTATTAGGTTAATCTTGTAAAATAATTTCAAAATATTATTTTATCTAATTAATATATCATGTAGTTTTTATTTGATCATAGGTCAAAAAATATTCCTGGTTGATTACAAAAGTCAAAACTATATAAATACTGTCGCACAAAGAGAATATTAACTAAATTAAGAAATGAGCCAACTACTAGTTGGGGACTTTATAGGTCAGGGGTCTGTGAACAACACCCCCGGGTTCTTTTATATATATATATATATATATATATATATATATATATATATATATATATATATATATATATATATATATATATATATATATATATATATATGAGATGAATCTTCCCCTTGGCATATTGATGAAAATGGATCCATCAATATTCAAACATGTACTCTATGAACACATGAATATTTATGTAAACATTAAATTAAAAAATTACCTGCTTTTTTAGGCGATATCTTGCCAAAAAAATTGTACTTGTATAAGATGTAAACGTACAATACTCGCTCGACCATCACTAATATCACTTGAAACACTGAATAATATACATACAATGAAATCTCTTTGTGCTATAAGCGTAGAAGGAAGAGTTGTGTTTTCATGTTCCTGAGATTCATATGTGAAATGTAAATATTTTCACATTTTTCATGGACTGACGTGATATTTTTAATTTTTCAAAGAGCTCAATTCATTCATAATATTTATATCCTATTGTCCATAAAATAAATAAGGACCTAAGACTACAAAAGAATTTGCCTAAGAGGAAACCTTAAGGTTAGAATTTGTCATATGGGCCTTTATCATGGATCGTGCCCCATATCTCTAGACCTAAAAAAAGTATTTCTATCACTAATGCTCAAACTCAACCACTGATCTCTTTTGTTCAAGGAATTTGAAAGGAAAAAGAAAAGAAAATGAAGTAAAAATTAGATTTTCTTGTTTGGTTAGAGTGGAAAAGAAAGAAAAAGTGGAAGGAAAAGAAAATGGGAAGACAAAATGTACCAAGTTAAGGAAAAACCAAATTACTCCCATTTTTGTGAGAAAAATGAGAGAAAACCATTTTCTTTTCTTTTCATTTCAAATTCCTTATACCAAACATAATGTTGGAGACTTTAGAGTGCTAATTTAATTTTTTTACCCAAGCAAAATATCTCCCATTTTTAAACATCAAATCAAAATAACATGATTGTTTTCTTTTTTGGGAAAATAAAAGATATATTTCTATTTGAATCAACATTATTGGCAAAAGCCAACACCTTGGACCCCATCATTTCAAAAAACGCGCTGAAAATAGTATTCACAGTGCCACCACCCTCTCCAACAGTCCAACATCCACACTTCCCAGGAAGCTCATTCTTACCTCATTCTTTTCAGAAAGCAAAAAACAAGCCAGTTAATATTAGTGGGTCCAGATAAATTCTGCTTCCTACCCACTCAGCTTGAAAGATTTATCAACACAGACCAAAAAGGTGATATAATGAATAACAGAAAGCATCTCCCAAGTCCCCATTGCAAAAAAAACAGAACGAAACCAGTAAAACATAAAAAGTTGCAGAATGAGAAATGGAGATAATGGTAATCAAGACTTACTTGGTCAAAGAGATCAGTGGTTGAGTTTGAGCATTGGAAGAATTCCTTCCTCCCCTTCAGAACCCAAGCTGCAGACAAGAATACCATTCCCTGCTAAGCTGTTTTCATGCAACTTCTGCAGCAGAAAGTTTTACAACTCACAGGCATTGGGTGGCCATCAGAATGCTCACAAAAAGGAAAGAGATGTGGCTGCAAGGTACTGCCACACTCAAAGAATGGGTTTGGTTCCCCACTCAGCAAGGTGTAGTGAGCCTATTAACGCTGAACACAGTTCGGCATGGCAGCAATTCCCAGAGGAAGAAGAAGGCTCAAAGTGGCCAGGAAGTTTCCAACTCAGTGCACCAGAACCAGAAGAGCTTGACTTGAACCTGAAGCTCTAACTCTGCCATAGGTTCTATGCCCAACACAATCACTAACTGGAAGGACTCTATTTTTCTCCCCAAGTGTTGATGCAGAATGTTTCTGCTTTTGCTAGAGGGATTGGTTTTCTAAACTTTTTGTGTTCAAGATGTCTCCTTAATGACCATTTTTTTCTGCCTTTTCTGCTAAAATTGGTTTGATAGAGTCCTCCAATCCTCTCTTAATGTATCATCAAATGTGATATCAAATATTGTCTCTTTAGAATATCGAGTATTATTCATTTTCCATCATGACTATTCATCCACAATTGTCACATTATGGATTACTTCAAACCATTAACAAAAGTATCTCATTGCCATATTACATTATCCATGCCATGACTTGAGGAAAAAAATATTGTTTTCTTAGAATACTTGCAGACACCTAAAAGGACACCTGAAAAGAAAAGAAGAATACCAAGTTACCAACTATTGAGATTTCAGCCATGCTGACAGGAAACCTTGACATGGATGACACTATGTAGCAGAATCAGTGGGATATTCCTTCTGAAGATGCCAAGTACTCCAACAAAAAGAAGATCAAAGGGAATATAACTCATAGTTGTGAAATACCAAGCAGAAACATACCTTCAACAACACTTGAGACATATCTGAAAGGCATGTGTTTACTTAGCAATAATCATAGCCTTGAAAGTCGCACTTAAAGTTTGAACTTAACACGACCTGAATGATATATGTTTACTACAGAAAATAAAAGGTAAGAAAGCACATGAATATTTTTGAGGTGTAAAAGTGAGGGGACACAGTCATCAGCATCCAAACACCAAAACAAGTAGTGGCATACAGATTTACATAGCAGTTTGGTTAACCAACAACCTTAATCTTAGAAATCTTGAAAACTCTCAACTTTTAATAAAGGGGAAATATATTAATAAATAAAAGTCATAGGGTGAAATTCAATGGATACAATTATACAAATAAAATTTCATTGAATCATAATAGATCTTGCACACATAAAAGTTGAATAAGACCTCTCATATGTGTGACCTTGAAGAACATCTGAACAATAAACTGCACCTGAATTGAACAAATTGAAAGTAACATTGGAGAGCATTTAAAAGTCCATCCCCAAAATGATATAATTCATATGAAAACTGACCAATGTAAAATCAGCCACACCCACCAAGAACCAACAAGAAACAACAAAACCCCAACCAAATTGGGAGAGAACTATATAGAAAAATTACTATGAAACAAACCTAAACAAATTAGGAACTGAAAGTATTATTCAGAATAGGTTTCCTGGTATAAAGTTTCTTGAGTTGGGTATAAAGTTTCTTGTCAAAGATTGATAACACACTGCACATCAATTTATGTTTTAAACTTTTAATCTGTTTCTTCTTCGCACTGGCAGAGAGCTTTTCTTCTTATCAACTTTGGGTTTGTTCTCCTTCGGCAACACTTTGGTATCTACATTGGCATGCTCTTCAACAGCAGGCATGACATTTTTGGTTTGTGGTGACAGATGGTTAAAACTCCAACGTGTATTATTAAACCATTTGTTAACCTGTAGCATAAGAGATATCGTTATAGAAGTGGAAACATAATAAGTGCCTAGTTACTAGTCAACATTTTAAGGTAATTTCCTATTTTCCACATAGTTTTTTTTTACAAAATGATACCACCTAACTTAATTCACTACACTGGTTCTGATTGGCTTGTAGTATAAATAACTGTAAAAGATACTCTAATTGAGCGCTCTAACTTTGCTTTTTTAGATTTTTTTATAACTCACTGTAGAAATATATTCCCTCCATCCTAAAAATATCTTCCCTCGACACATTTATTAAGATTGAAGTTTTGTGGTTTTGGTTTATTTATAAATGATAGAAAGAGTGCAGATCACACAAGGGACACAACTCTTTTCTTAAAAAGAAACAAGAGGACATCCCACAAGAGTGGGGCAAGAAGGATTAGAGTATATTGAGAGAAGGCGGCATTTTTAATATGGAGGAAGTATATGTTAAATAAATGGTCTACTTAAGCCAATTAAACCACAATGTTTCAGGAGATTCGTCAAATTCAGCCACTCAGCTTATTTATTTTAGGCCAAGCCAATTTTTTTAATAAGCAAGAGTTAGAGTAATAATAACAGTTGTCAGTCAATTACAAATGCTTGAGTGGAAATACACGAACCTGCTGGACTGCCAGTCCCAATTCTTTAGCCAAGCTTTCCTTGACTTCTCGTTTTGGATAGTGATTTTCCTTGAAGGATTCATAGAGCCTCTGCAACAGACAAAATTTTAGGTATACATGTCAAACTGAAGAAATGAACAGAAGTTAAAGGCCAGGATGCTCATAGGAACACATTTATTGAAGTGGTAGAACTGTTCTGCATTTTAATTTAGGTTTGGATATAGTACGAGAAACAGATGACCTTCTACAGATTGCAATTAAAGGTGTTTTGAAGAAGCAGAAATTACACCACAATTTTTTTATTAGTAAGTCTTGTGTGCAAAGATTTGGAGAAAAAGAGCAGCTATATTAAAAGGTGCCACTGCAGTTATTTGCTGAAAACACCAACAAATCATTATTACCTTAATTACATCATCTCCATACTTTAATCTTGTGTTTCTTTTACTACCTGAACCAGATTCAGATTCCACCAAGCTTTCAGCCTTCCGCTTCTTGCTAGACGTTCTAGAAGCATTCTTGACAGTAGTATCTACTGGACTTTGATCAGATGACTTCAGAGCAGCTTTGTCACTTCTTTTCTTTCTGTTTTTGGAAGCTGAAATATCCTCATAATCTTCGTCACTAGAGTCAGAGGATGCAACTCCAAACGTTTCCTACAGGTGCCAACAAATTAAGATGGAAACTATGCAGTCAGATTACAGATTAACGTTTAAGATGGAAAATCGGCATTGCATGAATATGAACCAAGCCTAATAAAGAAGCAAATGATAAATATGACTACAACCGAAACTAACAGTATGAGTACAATATGCCAAGACTTCTCAACTCAAAAAAAAGGTCAGTTTGGAACCAGGAAAATACCATGGGCAGAAAATAATGAGAAGAATATAAGGGAAATTTGGGGCAAAAGAAACTTTTGGTTCAAACTTAGCATCAATATAAGGTATTCATATATATAATTTCATTTTCCATCGTCTAAAGATAATAAATCTAAACATATGTTTAACAAAACATTGTTCATAACATTTCCCCCCTTACCCTAACATTTTCTTGGTTCCAAACATAGCCATACAGTTTGGTGTGTGTGTGATAGAGATCAATAAATCATTGACGATGGATTGGGAACATTGGAAGGGTTATAGTTTGTATGATCACTTCCAAGATAAATCATAAATTTAAAACTTAAGAGGCAAAATATGGAGTCATTATAACATAAGAAACTCACATCATGTAACTTTTTGTAATCCAACCTCTCAACATGCCTTTTTCCAGATGCAAGTGTTTCATAGGACTGCATAAGAAATTCAACTTCACCCTTCAAGGAATGGGGCCCACCACCTACTTCTATTTTTTCATAATGATCTTCTTGCCCAGGTGACATGATATTTTTTAACTCTACACTGAAATCCTCAGAGTCAGAAGTAAAATCAGAAGATGAACTATATTGCATGATCTGTTCATCGTGTTCATGGGCATCAGGCTCATAATCATCATCTTCTGAATCTTCAGATGGAAGCCCAAGGAATAGTTCATCATTAGGGGTCTCCAATTCAAAAGATGTGTCAGAAGAATCACTTTCATCATCAGAGTTTGATTCATCATCTTCTGAAATCTTCTCATCTACTTCCAGATTGTCAGGGTTATAGTCGTCATCCTCAGAATCATCTGAGGGTAATCCCACCATATCATCCAACTGCTTCCCAGATGCAGCAGCCTCCTCCTGAAACACCTTCTGCATAGCACATAAGCCCTTGATTAGATTTTAAAAAAATAAAAGATAAGATAGTAAGATCAAATTTGAACATATGTCAGACCTCCCAACTGTCAGTAATAGAAAGATCAGTTCCCAATAAATCGTTAAGCAAGTCAACACAATCAACTTTGCAGTCACACCCAGGACATAGCCAGCCTTCATCATCTGGTGGAACTGTAATCACATGAGAAAGTGAAAAGGTAAATAAATATATTTCTTAAAAAAGTTTAGTATAATAAATAAATTAGGAAGAAAAACCCCGGGTATGAGTTTTCGACTTTACAGTCTTCTTTCAACAGAGGTGGTTCCAAACACTTCTGGTGAAAACCACGCTCACAAGCACCGTCGCAGAGGATAATATCATTATTAGATGAGACATTCTTAGAGCTACACTTCGCACAGAATATCTGCAATAAGAACGATTCATTTTCTATTACATCAGTATTTCTTTTGCTGTGCAACTGATGAAAAGATTACTCAAATTTAAACCAAATTGGATAAATAAAACATATATAATATCACCTACATCTTCACTATCAATCTGCCCCTCTGAGTCAAACAATGATTCTGGGAACTGCCCCTCAAAAAGTGATGCATCTATGCGTGAAAATAATTCTCTTACTTTCAGCTTGTAATGAAAAATCCCAGATTTTGCACGTTGAAGCTCCTTCTCAGGCTTTATTTTTTCTAAGCTGAAAAGGAAAAATAGGAAACCAAATTGCTGATCTATAAATAGATTGAAAAACTTGAAATGAAAAACATTTAATCTTTTGCCTTGTCACAAGATGGATTGGGAGAATACAAACCTTTGACCTTTCCATCCTTCACCGGAGTAAGCATCAATTAAGCTTTGTTCATATAGTATTCGCCTGACTAAATATTTTAGATGGGATTTTATCCCCAATAATTCATTTGCAGCAATCTGTTTCCTTTGCTTTCTTTTTCTCCTTTTTCTTTTCTTTTCTTTTTTGGAATTATCAGCTGCTGAAGCATTTGTTGTTTCTGGAGATTTAGTCTTTTCTTGTGTTCTTGAGCGCAATACTCTAGTACTGGTTACTGGTGATCTCAAAGAAGATATCTTTGTCCGTGATTGCTCAGAATGGCTTTCATCTCCACATTCTAACTGACTAGGATTTACATTTGAATCTCTATATGTTTCTCTTATTTCTTGACCTGTACTTTCAGATGCAACACCCAGTACTACAACCGAATTAGCTATAGGAATCGCTTCCCCTCTTTCATCTAGAACTCCAAAATTATTAAAGCTGGAGTTCACTCCCAAACCTTCCAGTCTGGATCCACTTTGCTCCCGGCTAGAGTTGACAGAAGCATCTCCACAGAGAAGCAGATCCTCTTTACAGACAGATTCTACCACCATTATTTCATCTATGTTTCCATTAATTTTACTTCTATGCTCCAAAGGATGGCTAGGATTTTCAACTGTAGACTTTGCAGTATCTTGTATCTGTTTTAAAACGAGATCCTCAAACACGTCTCTTGGTGATTCTGCTGAACGGTCTATTTGAGAAGTGGTGTCCTTGTATTCAGATCGCAATGCCATTATACTGTTGGAATTCACCCCGCAATTTTCAAATGGTAGATTCTTTTGATCTATGATAGAATCTGTAACGATATGCCCAGTGGGTGAGACTCCTTGACATTCTGAAGAAGACTCAATTGTATCAGTAATTGCCACACAGTCCTGACTCTGGGCATTTTGATACCCATCTCTTAATTCTTGACCTGTACTTTCAGATGCATCACCGAGTACTCCCACTGAATGGTTAGCTATAAGAATCGCTTCCCCTCTCTCATCTAGAACTTCAATGTTATTAAGGCTAGATTTCACTCCCAAGTCTTCCAGTCTGGATCCACTTTGCTCCTGGCTAGAGTTGACAGAAGCATCTCCATGGAGAAGCAAATCCTCTTTAAAGACAGATTCTACCACCATTATTTCATCTAAGTTTTCATCAATTTCACTTTTATGCTCCAAAGGATGGCAATGATTTTCAACTGTAAACTTTGGAGTTTCTTTTATCTGTTTTAAAACAAGATCCTCAAACAAGTCTCTGGGTGATTCTGCTAAATGATCTACTTGAGAAGTGGTGTCCTTGTTTTCAGATGGCAATGACAAAATAGTGTTGGAATTCACCCTGCAATTTTTAAATGGCAGATTATTTTGCTCTATGACAGAATCTGTAAAGATATGCCTGGTGGGCAGTCCTTGACAATCTGAAGAAGACTCAACTGCATTAGTAATTCCCAAACGGTCCTGACTTTGGGGATTTTGATACCAAATGTTCAACTCTTTGAGAGGTTCCTCTGAATATACAACTGCAGAATTAGTTGTCTCCTTGACAGAAGAAAAATCCATCTCTCCAATCATAGCATTTTCTCTACAATCATCAGATCTCTTCTGCTCTTGATTGGAAGCTGTGATAGAATCAGTAGAGATATGTCCAGTGGGTAACACTCCTTGATTTTCTGTAGAAGACTCAATTGTGTTAGTAAATCCCACATGATCCTGACTTTGGAAAAAATGACACTGATCATGCAACTCTCTGAGGGGTTCTGTTGAATACTCAACTGCAAAATCAGTTGTCTCATTGACAGAAGAAAAATCGTTCACCCCAATCATAGCATTTTCTCCACATTCATCAGGTCTCATCTGCTCTTGATTGGAATCCATTGACATACAGTCAGGAGATATTCTACTAACTGAGCCAAATTCTTCTACCATGCTCTGCCCCAACAGCTTTGACTCAGTGTATTGACAATGAAATTCAACAGAACATTTAAAACTGTCTTCACCTGAATGACACTGCACAAGTTCAATGGTTTCAGGTTTTTTTTCAGCTACCCTGTGTTTTGTACTTAGCTCTACAGCATCTTGGGTAGAACTCATGCAGGCGCCATAATGATTGTTTTTCAAGAGGTCAGAGTCACATATGTTTATATCCTCTGACATCCTAATAAAAACCATACTCATGAACTCAAAATTAAAATATAATGCAAAACCAATTTCTTCAAACCAAACACCTAATTCCTGCAATTGGCATCACAAAAAGAAAAATAAAACAGATGAATTAAAACAACATTTGTCATACTCACTGTACAGTGTTATGGGTTACGCATGACAAAGGAGTGGCACACTGGCAACTCAACGTGAAACCACACAAGAACAGAACCATATTTTGATATGTATCAATAAATAGTTACGAGTATCATTTTTATACTTCTCTTTCCTCTCAGCTTCCTCTTTCCCCATTTGATTTTTATTTTTATTTCCAGCAATGTTGAGTCTATTATTACCTGAAGTTGAATGATTTCCATATTGACATTCAACACTAAGAGGATTCCAAAAAAGGAATCATGTTACAAATGTGCAATTAATGAGACGGGCGAGTAAGAACTAGCTCATTACCTGTAAGAGTCTCACTTTAAAAATTAAGAGAAAATGATGAGTATGTCTAATCTTGCAATCTTAGTGATGCTTAGTCTGATAGATATTGTCAATGCATTTCAAGCTTTCAATCCAAGGGAAGGAGGTCCATTTTCATGTAACTATAAATTCAAAAGAACTTGATTGTCCACATGAAGAGAGTTTGTAGAGTTTCTATTAGAATATCTAAGAGAAAAGGATGAGTTAGTAAAATCTTGTATTGAATCAACTAATCAGATTCAAACTTTTACTAAGATTTTGGCCAAAATGTTTCATGTCCTGGTTAAGTGAAATCAGGCCAATACAAAATTCTAGCATCACTGATTCATGAAATTGAATTATGTATCAATTCTACGCATGAATAGCAGAGAACAAACACACCCATACTAATATCTCAAGCAAAACAATTGGTAGGTATGGGTGTAAGTTGTAACTACGTTGTTCTCCACGGAACCATAGAATGGAAGGCTTTAAATGACAAACAGGTGCAGATCTGATGCATAGATCTGAAAGGTTAAAGATCAAGTGGTGAGGTTGGGCTCTTGAAAGATAACAGTCTAAGCCGTATTGGCATCCCATTGTGGATCTGGACAGGTCTAGGGGTGACAAGCTTGTAGCCCAGTACAAGAAGCAATCTGGAACCCATGAGAAACAGCTCCATAACAACAAAAATGTAAAACTAATTGATATGGAGCATCAATTTGTACATGTTACTAAAGGCAGACATTCTCAAAATTGCTAAAGTTGCTATTTTTGAAAACAACATCAAAGATATAAGAGAGATTTGCCAGTTGGAACATTGGATTCCCCACCTTAAAATTATCAAGAAATGTCTACACGCTATAAAAACAGAACGCAAAATATGCAACGCCGGATCATCCAACAGCAAGAAAATGAGTAATAATGGCAAAGAACTGCAGAACCATAGAAGCTTGAGAAATAAATAAACTCAGATGGAGCGATTCAAGGAAGGAAGATGCGTAAGTTACCTGAAAACAGAGAAAAATCCACTGGAATGAAGAGTAAAAAAACTCTAAGGGGAACTTTTTTTTAAAAAAAAAAAATCTCTCGGAGGAAGAAGATGAAGGCTCCCAATCTGCGTTCAGGAGCGGTTTTGTTGCTGGGAGCCGATAAACAAGGAAAGCGTTTTTTACTCTTTTGCAGGAGAAACGGAGGGAAACTGAAATTCGAGCGCGGGAAGGAAGATTGGCTTTATGGGTCGGATCGGGTTATTCTGGCGGTGCGACAATCCCCAGGAAGCTCCTCCATGCTTCACCATTCGAGAAAGAAGTTAAATATGGAGAAGTTTTGTAAAGGTTCGCATCTAATGGGCCGGCCAATTTTTGGGAGCCCAATTTTTGGAGTAGTATTTTTCTTATTTTTAGTAATTTATATTATGGGAAAATAACATCGGTGCTCCCGTGGTTTACAAAAGGGGCGTCAAAATCTTTTATGTTTTCAAAAGTTATTTGTAAAGTCCTATGATAAATAGAGCATACATGCCCTCTTACCTATTTCTAAAGCAAAAATGACATTTATGCTCTTTCTTTTCCTCGATCTTGAATTTTCCCTATTTTATTTTCCTCTATTATACAAATATATAAAATAAAATATACGCTTCTCATCTCAAATTAAAATTTTCCATAATGTATTTCTGGAAAAAAGGATATTTTTTTAGAGAATGTTACAAAAGAAAATGAAAAATACAATATTATGTATAAAGTAAAAATAATAACTGAAAAAGGTAATGAAAAGAAAGAAAAATATAAAATAGTCTTTTTCTTTAACTCCGTATTTTATTTTATCTTTTTGTTCTTCATTTTTTAAAGTCCTTTGAAAACTATTTTACTTTTAAATTACAAATAAGTTAGAATTTTTAATTAGAGACAGAGTGCATGAGTATATGTTATCTAATTTTTTTATTTTATTTATTTTACTTTTACTTATAATGAAAAGGTGTATTTTATTTCATTTTTTAATTTTTCATTTTCTTTTGTAATATTTTATTTAAAAAAATTGAAAATTAAATAAACGAAAAATTTAAATTTGAGAAATGGGGCGTATATTTTATTTATTTATTTGTATAACAAAACATGCAAATAAAAGAGTGAAACTTGAAGGTAGAGAAAAATAAAGGACAGAAATGTCATTTTATGTTTAAAAATAGGCAAGAGGGGCTTCTGTGCACTATTTAAAAACCACAAGAGTTTTACAAATAAGTTTTGAAAGTAGAAAAGGTTTTGGCGCTTCTTTTGTAAACCACGGGGGGCACCCATGCTATTACCCCTTTATATTATTCTAAAAAGATTTCATATGGTAAAATATATCCTTTACTATAATAAAGGAGACTCCGATTTACAAGAATTCGACATTTGGCGTGTCTATTTAGCAAAATTTTAACATGTTAGCGTCACGTAATCTCTTACTATAATATTTGAGACTCATGTCTCCAAGAAGTTGACATATGTCATCTTACATGACAATTTTTAAATGACATTGCACAAGACTAAATTACATGACATGCTTTAAATTCTCATTCATCATTTATAGAAATTTATTTATGATAACCTTTAAAATATGATGAGTTTAAAATAATATATTTTATATTGAAAAAATATGGACTTTTTAATTTATTGAAAAACATGTAAATGAAATAAATGTAATTTTTCAACAAAAAGTAAATAAATTAATCATAAAAAAACTAATCATGATTAGCCCAGGTCTTTTTTCATAAAAATGAAAATCATATTAAGTCTTTTTGTGTAAAATATAATTTTTTAAAAATTATTAATTTATTCTTTTGTATGAAAATTTATTGAGCTAAAATATATTTTGCAGTAGCTCATCTTATACCACTAATTAAAGATGAGAAATTTATTAAATAAATTTTGTGCATTATGAATTTATGTATATTAGATAATTTTTAATATGAAAACTTTGTGGTTTAATGTATTCAATAACTTTTTTAGTAATTAAAATTTCCTTAAATATATATTAGGGAGTATAAAAAAATCTATCAAGATTTAAATTTTGTTTGAGATATTATATATATTTACATCACATTATTAATAGTATTTAAAAGTATTTATTTCTGATAGAGACAGTGTTTATAAATGATAAAACTTTTGTTTTAAAATGAAAGAATATTGCGTAATCAAGGTGTTTTTATAAAAACTTATTTTTTATTATTTATATAAACATTAATATGAAATGCATGGTATGTAAACAAAACTCTAGAATTGACATCTTTGTCGAAATAATTTAGTCTAATATTAACTTTTTTTCCGCCGAACTTATTATCTCTCCAAAAGATATATTATTTATTTTACTTTGGCATTTTCATATGTAGTATTAAAAATCATGTGATCAATGTATTTTCTTTATTCCGAAAAATAAATTTCATCGAAATAATTCTTAATCAACATAAATTTCGTTCAATCCCGTGCATGGCAAGGGTCAGAATATTAGTTATTACATACTACACGACATACACGTCTATTTATATGTTTACACGTAATTTGACATATTTTTTTCAAGCGGTTTGGACTACAAATTTATCTTTCTTTGTCTCTTAATATTCGAAATTAGGGAAAACAGAATGTTGGGAAAATCGAATATAACACGTGTTAATTTGAGAGTCGTGATAACACTTTCTGATTGATTATTTTGAGTGTTCAATCAAAAAATCAATCGGATAAAATTCAAATTATTGACAAGAAAAGTTTGAACCAATATGAGCTTACGAACTCTCTCTGTGGACCAAGGACTTTTCTCAAATTCTTATAGACGCGGAAGGAACGATTATAAACTTGCGTTTAGTCGCACGAAACGTTAGAAAATGCATTTTTCCAGAAATTTCTTTAAGCAAAAAATCAAAAATTTAAAATTCAAATTAAATTTTAACATAATACTTTGTCCAAAATAAAAAAATCTCGAGTTGGGGACCCCGTCCAAGCATATTTTTTTATAATATTTGAATCTGAATATTTATTTTTATTTATCTTGAGAAAAATAAAAATGTAATACCTTTTTCTATCATTCAAAGTATAAAAAGATTATTAGGTCAGAAACAACTTTAAATATAATTAAACTCAAATCAGATTAGACTATATTTAATTTTATTATAATTTAATCCAAACCATTTACATCAAGTAGAGATAAGATGAGCTTAGAGTACCTCAATTTTTTTTTTAAATCAGGGCTATAAAATTGGAAATCATCGTCAGTTTCACTGGTTTTCCATTTGCCCAGACTTATCTTCTTCGGCAGAAGCAGAGCTTTGAACTTTTTAAATCCAATATCCCGATTAATTCGAGAAATTCCAGCAAAAAATGGCTATGTCTATGGGGTTTCTCTCTGGATTCGTGACCGGAGAAACAACATCTTTCTTCAAGCCGCCGGTCACGGCGTCTTCGGTCAGGACCGCGCCTTCGCTTCCTAACTTGCAGACTTCGCGCGCGGTGGCCGTCTCCGCCTCTTCTAAGCCGTCCGCGGAGACGAAGAAGCCCGGCTTACGAGGTATAATGAAGCCGCGCCGTGTCTCGCCGGAAATGCAGGCTTTCCTAGGCGGAGTTTCGGAAATTCCCCGCACTCAAATTATCAAGGCGGTTTGGGATCACATTAAAAAGCACGACCTTCAGGTAATATACATATATGCGCGCTTCTGCTTCTCCCTAAAATGTTAGAAGATAATCTCAGCCTGATTTTGATTGCCATCTGTTGGCCTCTACCATTGATTTTGGGTCATGGTTTTAACCCTAATTTTAGACCTTACAGTCCATCACTTTAAATGCTTGGCCCAGAAATGGGAATTTCAATTTTCCTTTCAGAATACAGTCTTTAAATGGGAAATTTGACTTGCATTCAGGTATAGAAAAATCAAACTATACTCAATAATATGGGGGGATTGGAATGTATGGAATGGGGTTTAGAGCATTTCTTTTTCCGAAATGGATTCTTTTAATTGCCCTTTTTCTGAACATGTAACAATTTAAATGATAGCTTTCTGTTCTTTAAATTGGAGGAGCCTTTCACTTAACAAGTGCAATGGTCATCTTTCTAATGCATTCCCTTTATATTTTGTTTCATTTTCCTAGAGCCCGCAATTTTTTAGGGTCTCGAATTGTTTAAAACATAAAATAAGCATATCATATATTTTAAAAAAATGTAATCAAAAGGTCTAAAGTTCAAAAGCTCAAACTTGTTCAAGTCGCAAATATCTTACTAGCCAAATATTATACGGAGTAATCCGCTATCGCCTATCCCACTCTCAACTAGAAAGGCCCCTAACTAATTTGTTGTTTGGAGCCCCCAAAGAGGCTAGAAACGACATTGGCTTTGATTTAGGCAGAAAGTAAAGTATGTCATTTTATCGTATTCGAGTTGTGTGGCCTAATGAAATTCTCAGTTGCTCAAGGGACTAGTAGAACCAGCCACTACAGTGTGCGGTCATTGATTTAAATGTCAGAGTTCAGATGATGCATAGTTCATTCATTTTGTTACATTTTTTTGCCAACGAATGCATGTACTAGATACATTGCTAAACTATATCAGTATATCACTTGTATAAACATTTGATGGAGAGTGCAAGCTAATAGGGAGTAGAAAACAGATGTTCCTGTTCTACGTTTTACTAATTTATTGGTTTTATTGCTGAAAGCATGAGCTACTTATGTGAGTCTGGGGGATATGAGCCATACATATCCCTTATTGATCACACAAAGGTGTGCTGTATCAGCCTTCCGAGGTGTAGCTCGAGTAGAGGGCACCATAGGGTCATTTTTGTTTTTGAGGAATTTGGAGGGGATAACTTTGGAAAGATTAATCCATATCCTAATAAATATTTCCTATACATTCTTTCCTATTTACCAAAATTGTATCTTCTTGACTTCTTTTTTTAAGGAAAGAATTATGTGGTTCATACTAATTTTCTCTTTTAAAACAAATCTCAACCATACAATTTTCACTATAAAAAACTATGGGAAGTCAAACTAGGAGATTAAAAAGGGTCAGTGGAGTAGCATGTTTATAAAAACAAAAGAATGGGGATTGCTATAAGACGTAGGTAAATTTTCATTTGTTATTCCTTCAAATTTCATACTCCGTATAATCTTAAATATTCTTTGAGGTTTGAACGTAGGTATACTACTAAACTCTCCCCTATAAATCCTCCATCCAAACTTACCCTTAAGGTTCAAAACCTCACGAGCAAGAGGGTCGGGACTTCCATTTGTGACATTGTATGGTCTCTTTACAGAGGGCTTTCAATAGCTGGATTGGGACGAACGCAATAAGATTTAATCTTTAAATGTTCATGAAAACTCAGTTATAAGATTCAACCTCACAAGTTGAGAACAGGGTTTTATACTAGTAACACAAACTGTATACCGGTTTTGCAGGACCCCACAAACAAGAAGATCGTCGTGTGCGATGAAAAGTTGAAGAAAATTTTTGGCGGGAGGGATCGGGTTGGGTTCCTCGAAATTGCTGGACTGATTGCTCCTCATCTTCTTTAAGTAATTTGAAAAGAAATGTCATATTTTTGTAAAGGGAGTTGTTGGTGGATTATGCAGAAATGTGTTCCTTGGAGTTGGAAATCCCTTGTATCAGCTTCATGGTTGCTTCAAGTCCTATCTGAGTTTTACCTCACCCCCCCTTTTTTTTGTTCTCATGGAGTCATAGACATATGTATTGTGTGCTTGTGAATTCATGTCAAAAACCATCCCTTATTAGATCCTGCAATGCCATTGCAATGCCATCAACGATTTAGGCAATGTTTTCCTCATCTGAATGATTTTGATCTATTTGGAATAAAATATGGTATGGTCAGATCTGAATGTAGATACATTTAAGGTGCATTTGATCAGTTCTGGCTGATCTGATTTGATTTCAACAAGAATAAGTAATAAGTAAAAAAATAAGGTGAGGAGAACATGACTTTAGTAGTTTAGTCATGTGCTACTTGTTACTCCCTCCGTCCTAATATATAGTGCCTATTTCGGTTTACGATGTTTGGTTGAAATTATTTTCAAATTATTTTATATGACAAATGGTATAGAAATAAAAAATAAAGATTACAAATTAAAATACTACATCAAAAGATCTACAAAACTAGTAGTGATAATAGTATTTTATTTTATCAAACTGCTAAAATAGAGAAAGAAAGTGAATGAAGTTTGACCATGTGAATAGTGAATAGACATTACAAGTTGGGGCGGAGGGAGTACTATGTTTGCATTTGGGGCTGACCCTGGTAAAGGTCTCTCAAGCATTGTATCATAGGACACACTTCCATGTCCGCGTGGAGTCTTTGGAGCTCTGCAGTCATACTGGCCATAATGATACACTTTACATCTCGCGCGTCGTCCTCATACTTCTTGAAGGAAGTGAGTTCGGACGCACGAGCATTAGTATCAGGGGTCTTGGGAGGATCCGTTTCGAGGATATAGAGTTTCCTCTCACAGTTAAGAACAATTCAGAGGTTCATCTCCCAGTCAAGAAAGTTGGTCCCGGATAACTTGTTGTTTTCCAGGATGTAACACACGTTGAAAGGGTTGTTGTTGTTTGCCATCTACAGAAAATTTTGCAAACTAGGTTATCTATCATGTTTAATAATTAATTAGGCATTTAATTATTTATCTCCCACTATTTTTAACAAATCAATAACCCTCGATATTGATTCAGAGATTTCCCGCGAAACCTCTAGTGGGCCAAGATCCATATTTCACTATCTTGCGTTCCGCTTGGGCGTTACTCCACAAGACAACTATTTAGGTAGGAACATAGTTCCAACTGATGAGCCAGGCTCTCAGCTCTTGGTCTGGTGTTGGGCGAACAATATTACTACAACCGGACCAGGACACCTTTTCACCATACTTGTAATTGGATGAGGCACATCTTACTAGCAAACTACTTTAGTTAGAAACATAGTTCCAATTAAATCATAAAGATCCAACTCCTAGCTGGATGAGTGAGTAAAATCATCCAACTAGTCATTGATGACCCCAACTTACTGCCGCTGAGTCATCCATCCATTTGACCGCGACTCAGTTAAGTCTAACCCAACGTGCGACAGCGACCACGCTATGGCGGTTCCCTCAACCAGCTTAACATATACCGTACTATGCTCTGCTGAGGCTGAGTACATGACAGTGCACATTAGCCGGATAGGTGCCGGGCGTCAGAAGGCAACAGACTTAATATTCGTAAGGGATTTATAATTTCGATCTCACCTATCGACATGGCCGCGCACATGTCCATTACTAACGTTCAACATACTTTCAACATGAATTCACAAAACGCAGTAAATAAACGTGTAATGATTGTGGCCCTAAAAGAAAAATAAAACGATAACTCCCACTGGCTTTCGGTCACTTGGACTACGGGCTATCTTCATTCTTTTAGATTTCTTCAAACGTTCTTCAAATCTTTTCGTCTTCTAACCACCACGTGAGAAAAGAATCCCCGGTTGAGGTAAGAGAGAAAATAGAGTTACAACAAAAGTTTAGAGATAAGGCACGACACACAGGCCGTATTATAATCAAATAAACTATAGCCACAATTATCCACCATGCAAATCATACATCCATACAGGCAATAGAGATATACATACACCGAGTGAGCCGTGCTCACCCTAGACAGTCCTAGAAAAATAGTACGGTAGTAAATATTTTCTAAAGCTCATAAAATTAAATTAGATGTCCAAATAAATCTAATAAAATTTTATAAAATCATTTTATATACTCTAGTTATTCTGTCAGCATTAAAAAAATCCAGAATATTCCAAATGACCCAAATGCCCTTTTTGCAAAATTATTTTCGAAAAAGCAATTTAATTCCGAAAAATTATGCAAAAATCATGAAAATTAAATTTCAACTTCCAGTAATTATTTTCAACATTTATAAACCTGGAAATAAAATTTCCAAAATTTATAAATCATTATTTCTAAAATATATTAGTTAAATCTCAATAAGTTATTAAAAGCCATTTAAATTATTTTCGAAAAAATTAAATTATAAAAATTTAATATTTTGAAAAAAATTCATTTTCTTACTGAGATATAACTTTCCAAAATATATATTAGTTATTTATTTAATTAAAATAAATATATGTAAATATATATAATATTTCGGTAATAATACCGAGTACATATATAAATATATATTTCTTTAATTACTAACTAATATTATTTTGTACAATATATTTATCAACAACCTTATTTAACTTAGAAATAATATTTCCAAGTTTAATAAAGTTCATTTTGAATTTTCCCATATTTATTTTCGGTTTTCACCTAAATATATACAATAAATTCAAAATAGGAAATAATACATTCAAAAATTACAATATAATTTTATCAATCATAAAATTATGTTTTATGTCCAAATAAAATTATATTTACTATTTCTACAATATATATATATATATATATATATATATATATATATATATATATATATATATATTACGGGTAGAAATAAAATAAATAAATTTAAAATTCATTTTCAATGATTTATTTCAGTCCAATACTTATTCCAAGACTAAATTAAATCATTTTACTGATTTTTGAATTTTAATAATTACCAAGTTAAAACTTTGACATTTAAAATTTAAAAAGTCAAACGTAAAACTATAGTTTTGTACGTTGGCTCTGATACCACTGAAAGGTAACCATGCAAGGATAGACAACGGAATATAAAAATTTTAACATCCTAACATGATTATCTTGGCCAGAATCACGTACTAAAACACATAGTAGTAAGAAATTTATATCTTTCTCCAGAAGCGGTAAAAACGAAGAAGTCGTATGAAGAGCGTTGAAAGTACAAACGTAACCGTTCAAGCGTCCGGTCTCCAACTTTGACACACGAACAACGCCGGAGTCTACCACAATCTTTATGTAAAATGAAGTGGCCGAAAATTCCCTTGAAACAAATTGATGAATATGGTCTATTTTATTCAAGTGAGAAAGTGGATATAATAATGGACTTTAATTATGCATAAAATGACAAATTAACAAATCAATTACAAATCACTAATTTATAAATCAAGTAAGTTAATACCAATTTGTCAACCTTGAGAAGGCTATTTGAAATTCTTTTCCACTCAAATGTTTAAAGTGTATTTTACTTGACATCAAGAATTAATATAAAATTGATTTTAAATCAAATAAAAATACCAATATCATTTTTAAACAAGTATAAAAATATACTTTAAATAGTTTATGTCAAAATAATTATTTTCATAATTAAAATGACAAACCAAAATAAAATATTCAATATAATATATATTAATCGGCATATATATAATATATATAACCGAATACACACACACACACACACATATAATATTATATTCTAAAATATTTTACTTTACTATTTTTACAAATATACAAATTACTTATTATCTCATTGTTTAATCCTACTCCTTAAATTGTCCAAAGTGTGTGACCCGTATAGGCACTTATAAAGCTGGCCATAGTATTGGCTCTGCACCAATACTATAAACAATAAGCGGTATCTAACAACACATTATTGCCACCAGATTATAAGTTAAGACGTTTGCACCATCAAAACCTTTTCACGACTCAAACTCCGTGTAACTGTATCCCTTTGTCTCAATGTCTAAACTTAATGCAAGAGATTAATAAAATCCAGCTTGTATCCATTAAGTCATTCACTGATTTATCAAGTCTGACTGATAGCAACAGACGTCATAAAACATCTCAGCATGGCCATGCAATATCCTTAGTCATAACTTATCAGTGGGCCCCATAAGACATTAATCTCTTTAAAAAGAGTAGTGATAAATCCTTTGTACGTAATCTACGTTTCTGAATATGCACTGCGGCATACCCAAAACAAAGCCTGTATACCATCCTTATTTCATATGGCTTAGGACAATGCATCAAAGCATGTGGGTTCACATATGCAGAAAACGTAATACTTCAAGTCTGACTGATAGGAACAAATGTCATAAAAACATCTCAACATGGCCATACAATATCCTCAGTCATAACTTATCAGTGGGCCCCATAAGACATTAATCTCTTTAAAAAGAGTAGTGACAAATCCTTTGTATGTAATCTATGTTTCTGAATACGCGCTGCGGCATATCCAAAACAAAGCCTGTATATCATCCTTATTTCATATGGCTTTGGACAATGCATCAAAGCATGCGGGTTCACATATGCAGAAAACGTAATACTTCAAGTCGAAGGATAGTTACACCCGTGGTCGCACTAAAGATGCTTAGAGCATGAACTAAAAGTTCAAGCAACATCTTTAGGATGGGTCAGTCCGGCATCCTATTATCTCCAGATAATATATGCCCATGTGCGGATGCGAGCACACCGTCATTGACTATGAGACTAAGTCAAACATCCAACACACACTAGTCTCACATGCATTAACGATATCCCACTCTCGTTAATACTCGACTATGGACATTCAGATAAATATTTATTTCAAGATGTTAGTCTCATCAGTAGAATAAAACTATCTGATAAACATCTTTAAATATAAATTTAGGAATATAATATTTGTTTACATTAGCATGAGATGTATAAACATATTATATCTGCCTATATATGATAGAATAACGATAAACAGTTGGCTATCAGGGCACAACTCCAACAGAATCATAGAATCGTGTGCGCGAATAAATTTACAGACGATTGTCATTCACGATGTCAAACTTGAGATTATTGTAGCATGACTTGGGGGAGTGAGAGGGGGATTGATGATATGCTTGGGTGTTGGTTGATGCTTTCAGTTCATATTTGTCATTTTTATGTCAATGAAATGTATAGCCTCCTTGTCAAAAGTGTTCATGTGTGCCATGTTTGTAGCAATAAAAATTTATGCCCTTTTTGTCAAACTACAAAAAGGGGCAAGCATTCATATAGTTGTGCAGATTTTTCTTGAATAAGGACATTTAAGAAAGTCAAATAATTTTGTTACTTGACATTTAGACAAATCTAAAATCTAAGTTTCCTCTTGGATTTTCACAATGTTTAAGAAAATATGTGACCATGTGATAAAGATTTATGTAAAAATTAAAAATAATACGGAATACAAAATCTTCTTCTGAAGAGGAATACCAACTTGCTTATGGACACATTTTAAGAAGAAAAAAAATGTGTCGGTGAGAACCATATCCTCCCTCCATTTTTAAATAAAATTCCGAATTTTATTATTAGGCAATGAATATGTGACTAATAAGTAATATGGAGAGAGATGATTTGAGTGAGAGAAAAATTCAGAGCTATGTCTACTAATAGGAAGTTTAATGTCAGAAAGGGATATGAACGGCTTCAAGGAGGAGGTACCAAACCAATATGGAATGTATGGGTTTGGAACAAACTAACGCCCCCAAAATTCCAGTATCCGGCTTGGTTACTTATGAGAGGGAGACTCCAGACAAAAGCTAGCTAGTTTCATTAACACCAATTGTTCTTTATCTAATAAAGAAGAAGAGAGAGATTGTCATCTGTTTTGGAAATGTATCTTTGCACAAGAGATTTATAAATTTAGCTTTGGTAGGTTTAATCTCCAACTCCATGTGACAAAGAAGTTTGAGCAGGAGGCTATACTGCAGAAGACTAAGAATATAAAAAGTGATAAGAATATACTACGTATTATTTTATCATATGATCGATAAAAATATGCATACAAATATTAGTTATGGAAAAAACATTATACTAACTAAGAAGATTATTTGAGACATAGTCCGCATTTTAGTGATTGAATTCTTTTGTGAAAAAATAATAATCGCTCGCTTAGTACACAAAATTGATGAAATCGAATTAAAATTTAATGAAATTGAATGCTCCAATTCTACTTTATTTTTTGATTACTAATTTCAAATTCACACATTTTTGTGTCATCAAACAATGAAATTGGAATTAAAGTTTCAAACTCTAATTCCCTAGCTTGAAATTCATGTACCAAATGAACTCTAAATTTTTTATTTTAAAATTTAATTTATCTCAGTGAGCATTCAATTGGATCATAATGAAAATTAATTTTTTTAAAATGATAGGGGAAATCAAAAATTTATTTTGTGACTCACCTGCCACCCCGAAACGAGCCCACAAATTGTCACCAAAGTCTCCAACTTTTCTCCCTCTCCACACTTAAACCCCCACCAAGAATCTTAAGGGTTTTGGGGAAGAGGAAGAAAGAAGAAGAAAAGAAGAAAAATGAGCCTCAGAAACTTGTTGAAAACACGGCGATCTCTGCATCATCATCAATGGAAGAAACAACCCGCGAATGGTTCAATCGGGGCCCCGACATTCCGGACCCATCACCTTCACCAACAATCGAGACCCATTTCTCGGTTCACCCAATCCATTTACAGAAAGGCCAAGGAGACTGAGCTGTCGGTGCCCACTGCGTTATCTCTTCCGTTCTCCTCCTCCGCCTCCGCCGCCGCGAAGGCTGGGTTCGTCGGGTGGTACTTGGAATTGTTGAAGACCCGGCCCATTCTCACCAAGAGCCTCACCTGTGCTGTAATTTATACCGCTGCGGATTTATCATCTCAGGTTCTCTCTTGCTCAATCACTGTTTCTAAAGATTTTGGAAAAGTTTCAATTTTTACCATTTATGCATTTACTAACAGTAATTGCCAGGTTTCTGTAACATTGTTAAATACCCAATTGAAAATTAGATGAATTCTATTCATTCCAAATTACATTTTGTTGTATCCGAATGAGGTCTTGGAGAGTGAGATCATATGTGCTTGATTGATGCAAATGCAAATCTGTATTATTTTGGATTGCTGAAAGAGTGAAAAAAGGCATTTCTTCAGACACTTTCAGGTGCATTATCCTTGGGGCAGTATGATCTTTTAAGGACGCTGCGCATGTCGGGTTATGGGATGCTGATTTTAGGACCTTCCCTTCACTTCTGGTTCAACTTTCTCTTTAGGGCTCTCCCAAAGCAAGACCTTAGATCCACCATTACAAAGATGGCTTTGGGACAGACTGTCTATGGACCTATTATGACCGTTGTTTTCTTCTCCGTAAATGCTGCTTTGCAAGGTTCTCTACTTCCCACATCTATTGATTAAGGGCTCATTTGGTTTCATTTCTTTCATTTTTAGCGGTTTCTGTTCTGGGGTTTCTGAATTAGCTGATTCTGGAGATTCAAACAGTTGATTGTACTTTCGAGAACTGAAAATCTCTGGAAGCAGAATCGAAAACTGATTCTTTTCAAAATATAAACAAATACAACCCTCAATAAACATAAAAAGAATCGTCTTTTCAGAAATAGAGCCAAATGGCTCCTAAAGCTTCTCCTCTTCAGTGAATTCTTTGATTATGAGCAATGAGTTGAAGCATTAATATTTGATGTTTTGTCTGGGACAACAGGTGAGAATGGAGCGGAGATTCTTGCGCGGCTGAAGCGCGACTTCATCCCCACGATGGCAAGTGGCATCATGTATTGGCCAATTTGTGATTTTGTCACATTCAGATTCATCCCTGTCCATCTTCAGGTATATATATCATCTCCCTTGCAGAATTCAACCAAGCAACACAAAACTATATCCTCTCTCCATCGGCATTCTATAAGCCCTTTAGCGAATTTCCTATATACTTTCCATATTTTTTTGTATTTGATTCTGAATAACAAGAAACAATAGCCGCACAACAACAACAACAACAACAACAATCCTAGTATAATCCCAACTTCATTGAGGTATGAGGGGTCAAGATGTACGCAATCTTACCCCCTATAAAAACAGAAAGGCTGCATCTACTTCCCAAAATTTAATTGAAAGTAAGATGCTCGGGAAGTTTAAGGTGTCGTTTTTGATTTAGCCCATTATCCACCTAATTCTCTTTTAACTCCATGGGCAAAGAAAACATAAACAATTGCGCTAATGTTTGTTTTTCTTTTCTTTGGCTACAGCCATTGGTGAGCAACTCATTTTCATACATATGGAATGTGTACTTGACTTACATGGCGAGCAAGGAGAGAGTAGCCACTGAATAATGCTTCTATGATGAATGCTATACGCAGCAGCACGGATCAGTGGAACGGCGGGGTGCACCCTTGTATTTTCATTTTTTTTGTATTCTTTTCCCGGCCATATCAATCGACGCTGACCTACTATAGTGTAAGCCTCTTCGTGCTTTTTACGTTAAGGTCCATATTTTCCTAGCCACTAATAGGACTCAAACTAATGCTTGCTTAAAACCATTTGAATACAAAGTTAAAGAACAACGGACTCAGTAAAATTCCACAAAAAGCAGGTATGGAGAGGGTGAGTGTACTCGGATGTTACTTCTAATTGGATGTAGGGACTATAGTATTAGATCTTCGGGCGTTCCTATGTATTCTTCGAAAGGTTTGCTAAAGTAGTAAGTGTCGTTCAAGATCATTGTTATGAAATTTTATACCACGTATAAGGTGTTTTACGCTTCCTATACTCATTTACCGAGTATTCCTCTGAGTTTCAAAATGCTTCAAATTCAAAGATTATCATGATAAAAATATTAAATTCAAAATAACTAGCGAGAACAAAAGAATAGTTATCAAAGTCTTTTTCGGTCATTTTGGGAAATTTTAAAATCCAAAACTAAACACATTAACTAAACAACTAACTCTGAACTTATATATTTTAAAAGCGATAGGTTAACAAATACGGAGTAAATACAAAAAAGGACCAATATAGACATGTACTCCGTACTTACTATGGAGTTTTATATGTATTGTCAATTCATATATTACAAGGTCATGTTATACTCACACTAGTGATGACATAAACATCGTTACACGAAATGTTTTACATTTAATGATTGTGTGACAGTTTGACAGAGAATAACTATCAGTGTTTGATTGTTTCTCGAGATATCAAACTTGATGTCAAACTCTGGGATAAAATGATATTGTTTTTATATTACTTTGTACATTAGCTTGTATCTATCAACCATACTTAAACAAACATTAGTAGTTAAGATGGGTCATCAATCATACACAAACACGCTTTGGATCCGTGCAATGGATTGATATTTTTAACTAATGATGGTCATAGAGTACTAATTGTTGCTGGCTAATTACTCTACCCTTGTTTGTGTTTTAAAATCCTCTATTCTTTTTAATAACAATCCATCTTTTTTTTTTGGATTCATTTCTTTGCACCTAAGCCATCCTTAATGCCAATTTTGAAATGGAATTGCTTTTTGATCAGTATTGGCTTATCCCATTATTATTTACATTATTTTTGGATCAAAGGAATAACCGGTTCAAAGAGTTTCCGAATCAGCTGAATAGTCATTTAGAGTATGTGGTAAATTGAGCAATAATACTTCTTTTGTTCCTAAAATATTGTCACAGTTTAACTTTTTTGGTCAAATTGTGACACCATTTGACCACAACTTAAATATAGTTTAAAATAATTAAATATTATAAAAATTTGATATTTCAAAACTATATTTTAAAATAAACTAAATTTTACTAAATTTACATTATAACTAGATATACTTTTTGCATAATTTGCGATCAAATGATGCCACAGTTTGACCAACCGGGGCATCATGTTTTAATGATGTTTGACATGTTGCCTTGCCAATTTATTGCTTCAATCCTTTTTTCTACCTACAACTCCTATTAAGAACGACATTCTTATTAAAATTACATTTGGGAAATTCGCATATGTCAAAGTAATTAAAACTTTGTCTAGGAATCTTTTAAGAAACATCGCCAAACAGGGCCTAACATTGTCTCACAATCTCTTCAAAACATTGCCAAACACGCCCTAAAAAAGAGTACGCCAAAGGGGTCTGAAGTACGAGTTCTCTCCTTCATAAATATGATTAACTCCCAATATTGATTTTATGTGTGCTTGCTTTGAATTTTGTTGTGACGAAACATTGTAAGGTCTCACACTATTACTTCCATTTAGAAGTTTTTCTTTTGATTGAATCAAATTATATTTTATGAATGTCTGATCTCGTTTACTCTGATTCAATTTTAGTTATATCTAAAGTTATTTCTTTATTTGATTTCAATAAGATTAAGTGATACAAAGTATAACAATTTCAGGAGAACATGTTACTATCTCCTCCGGAAATAAACTTTATAGTTCAACTTTAAAAAAAATCAAAAAATGTAGAAATTTATGGAATATAAAGTATTCTCTTCGACTAGATCTATTTTAAAATTTATCTTTTAGAAAATTAAATCAATTTTAATGCGGCCAGATCGTGTGACATTGAGTTTGAGATCAATGTCAAAAGACCGAGCCTCCTACGGGACCATTGGTAAAATTGATGGTTTCTACCGCTGCAAAAACCTATGCCCCATCCTCTTCGCCGATTGGCTACAATGACCACTTTAGTTAATCGGCAAAAGGAAGGGGGTGGGAGAGTAGGGGGTTAGGGAGATATGAACCATCAATTTTACCAACGACGCATGCAGTATAAGAGTCTCGGGTCATGTTATGACATTAAAATCGAATGTCACATGAACCGTACCAATGCTCATATTGTATTTTTACGTTTTCAAGTCAATTATCATAATATGTTATCGTTAGTATTTTGGATGATTTTTAAATAATGAATACTCGTACTAACCTCTATTTGTAGAAGACACTAATGTTGAAATGACTGTTGGATAAGATTTTCAAATGGTAGAAATTAAACTTTAAACTAATCCTAAATAAGTATATGTACAATGAAAAACGCCAAATTAGAGATTGGAGAAGTAAATTTGGACAAGAGAATACTAATGACGGATATAACTAAATTTGGTACCAGATTCTGTTACGTTTGAAAATTGACCATTGATTAATTTAAAATTGAGATTCCTCTCTTCTAACTTAATTATTACTGTATTTGATTGTCTTTCTTTGGATGGATTCCCTAGCAAATGAACCGTAGAATCTTTTTTTTCTTCGTTCCATAATTTGAAGAAATTTATTCTCCGTATTATAGTTTTCTTGGAGAAGTTTGAACAAGAAGATTAGTTTATTAATATATGTTAATGAAAATAATTATGTCATTAGTATAGATAGTACTAGGAAATTTATACTCCGTATTTCGTTGCCACTGCATTACCACTGAAATTTTGGGATAACTACCTTGCTCTGTTCGCGAAATAAATGGTTTCTATCTCCAACCACGCCCCATGGTAAACCCCCTATCATGGCCCGACCTGTACCCACCCCCCACCCCTATGAATTGGGGCCTATCCAGGTTTAGTTGACTCTAAATTCAAAATTTTGATTCCAAAATCAATTAAACTTGAAGAGCCCAAATGCGAAGGGAGGAGGAGGGTCAATCGAGCCTGGGTGGAGGGTTTACCAGAGAGGTCATGGAGGTGGGAGCTATCAGTTTTGTGAACGAAACACCGATCTGTCGAGTGACACTGTCTCAAACCTTTCAGTACACACACATATACACACATATACTATATGAAATTATTATGAACCCATTACTACTCTATTATTGTTACTAGTATTTTATTCATTTTTCTAGACTAAAAAATTATGTCACCTTATTGCAACCTGCAGCTGCAAATACATATGACCATATATTAATTAATTAAATTATTCAGACCAAAAAGCATCCAAAGCTTCATATATACTATTCATCCGTAAGTAAATAATAATGTTTCTCGTTTTAAATAATATAAGGATGTCACATGTTATATTTTTTAAATATATTAGTTCTATTTTATTTCTACATAAATTTTAAAATTAATTAAATTTTATTGGGGAGTAGTAATTGTAAAGATAAAGATTACAGCGGGGAAAAGAAATCCGAACTTATAACACGTTCGGATTTTACAACGAAAATATAAAAAGTACTCCGTACAAGCTAAGAAATCATCAATGGTCGGAAAAATGAACGAAGAAGGAAAGCAAAGTTTCCGGAGCTTTCCCTAAGGTAGTATCGTCCGCCACCGATGAACGAGAACGACAAGAGAGTTATGCTGGAGAAGTGATCGGAGGATGCTGGAACGCAGAGAGGATTCGAGCTTTTCAAATGTATTCTTCCATGCAGCCAAGCCCCCCTTCTATAAGAGCTAGGGAAGTTGGCTCTTCTAGTGGACCGATGGACATTCCGAGGCGTCACAAGTGACTCCTTACCCTTTGCCTCCCTTGTGCATGCATGCTTTAGTAACACTTTGTTAATCTCCACACGCGTATAATTCGGTCTCGTAAAAAGGTATGGGTGGAGACTGGCGACCACGCACACGCCACCACGCGATATCTTTCGCGTGCGTGACGTGCTGAGCCAGACAGACGGCGGCAACAATGGTGCGCGAGGGCTCCCTTGGCTCTTCCTTCATAAATTGCTTCATAATGGTATTAAAGACTAGCATATAAATAGAGGAAGTTGAAGATGCTATGAATTCAATGTGGGACACAAGAATTTTTCCTTACCAAGTATTCGATTACGAGAATTAATTTCTCTTTCACTCGAGCGCCAATGTTGGCGCACAATATCTCAAAATACCTGTCTCATTTAGAATAATATTTGTCTATACTTATTTTTCCGACTCTACCAAAATTTACGTCCAAAATTATCCTGTTATGAGTCAAAATTTCAAGAGTAATTTAGGAGTATT